TTGAACTAGTTCAACAACTATGGAGCTTCTTGTATTCGGGCCAACGTTCTCACCTTCGGGAATCCCGTTTTCACAAAAGCATTCTTTCGAGTGCTACTTCAAGCTTCTGAGCGCCTTCATCGTTTTCAGGGTTTCCGAATGTTCTGGGTGATGTTAACATTTTTGATGGCAGTGCTGATTCCTAAACTGGAAATCATGATCCCATTAGTGGGAGTAACAAGTGGCACACTTTGTGCCCTTGTCTATCCACCGATCTTTGAGATGATCACGTTTTGGACCGACTGGAAGGTAGGTATTACTCATTGTTTTTCCATTTCTCGAGCATGACTAAGCGGTTTTCATGATTCTCGTGTCGTAGCGTGCTTCAGCGTGATTGATTAAAAGATATCAGTCTGTTTTTCAAGCAATAAACGTAAAACTATCGGCGCAGATCGGCTTTAAGAGGGGGGGGGGGGCATTTTGCACTTTCGATATTTCCCATCGTCGTGTTCATTGCTTTACAAGAGTTGAGAGGTAACTTTGTCTGGTATCACTTCATGGCTTCACAAAATTTCTATATTCTCTACTTCATGGCTCGATAAGACGATGGGAAGTAGCAGAAATGCAAAGTGCCTCCCACTTCTTACAAGCGAAACTGCGCCAAGTTATCACTTCCAGGGTCTGCTTACTTATCGAGAGCGGATGACGAAAATTGCGTTGAACTGCTTTGTGATTTGCGTTGGTTTCTTTGCAATAGGCGCTGGTCTCTACGCAAACGGGTTGGCCATCTACCAGTCATTTATGAACCCCGATTCTTGATTTTTAAAGGTTTGCTTTTTTAGTTTTTAGTTTTTCTTTCTGCAAGTGGAATAGGTTGTGATATACTGTACTTTCAGAAGTGCTCCATAGAAAATGGAAATCAGTAGGAATCTGTTTGATGAACCCTAAGAGCTTAATGAGGAAAGACTTCAGAGTTATTTGACCACTCTGAAATCACGTTTTACCCTTCAATTCAAGTAAAGAGATGTATAAATCAATTTAATGTATATATAGGTCAAAATCCACTCACACAGCCAAATAGAACCTATACTAAAGACTCGCCTCTACGATGTAGTTCGGCTTGGTGGGGGCAAAGAATGGTACAGAGCTGGGCTTGTACAGGCAACCTTGTAAAGACTTGTAAGCCAGTTTGACTAATGGGTCCCTCGAACAATTTCGCAGCTCCAGTGGAGCTGACAGGTATGGCTGAAGTGAGGTCTGTTAATTTACATGGGATAAGTACTGGAATCAGCGAAGGTGCCAAATGCCCACTCCAAGCCAAACAACGACCTGGACTTATGATTGATGATTTGGGTTATGGTTGGATTTGTTAGGCAAACTTGGAACCTGGCTGTTCTTTGTGGAATTTGACCTATATGCCTCCCTTCTTCTCCCTCTTGAACTCCAAGGCCTATTTCACGGTAATCGAACGGGCAGACTGGCAACCTTTTGTACCAACCGTACTGATGCGTCCCTCCTCCTTTCTATTGGGTTTCAAGATCTAAGGTGAGTGTAAGATCCTAATTTTTCATAAAGCGAGCGCGCAGGGCCGATAGAAATAGAGAAGGAATCTTATATTTGACGAGTCGTTATACGTTAGGAACGAGGAGCGCACCCAACGGAAGGCAAGCGGTTTCGTGTCTTCGCCCATCGGGTTATCGTGAACTGCGTCTTCAAAGTGTGAAGTTGCATGTCTTAACTTTGAGATTACAATGAGTTTTACCATTAGGTTGATGCATATGTTTCTGGCCCCCTGTTTTGATCCTTCCGTATTTCGTTTGCATGGATGTTGGTAACGCGTCATCACGTATGCGTGACGTGTGCATTATACCCTTTCATCACACTAGTTATCACTCACCCACCTTGCATTTGCAGGCAACAATGCCGCACAATTTCCACTGTGAAATCATGTCACAGTGGTTCTATGGTGCGGGCAAATTTGCGGTGGGGCCTTCTTCGGTTACAAGCCCCCGTCCTTCTGGGGAGTATTGAATCGACAAGCTGCCCGGAGCGTTGGCGTCAGCAGGCAATGGATGGTGTGGTGACAACCACTAACCTTCAGGCTCGTTCGCTATTGAGATATTTACATAAAAGTTGGGGCCAAAAACATATGCATCAACCTAAAATTATTGGTTGTATAATGTTACGTACTTCCGTCTCCTTGAGCGCCGTTCGAAAGCTGTTATAGTTAGTCTTTCGTCCCAAAAGTGGAGTTGCGTCGTAGAGCGTGCGGGTCTTTTTTTGGTGGCAAGTAGAGGTCTAACGCGGCCGCGCGCGCGCTGGCTGTTCACATATCTCGGCGTTTTGAGCTTCAATGCAATAATTCTGGTTATTTATTATGCAAAAAGCCTTGTCTGATTTTTCAGAGCTTACTTTCTTTCCTATCGCTATGACTTTTACGTGTTACTCTATAGCCGTCGATTCTAGCCCCTCCCTTCATCGCGCTTTCAAAGTTTCAATGGCTTTGTGATTCGTTGCATCTGGTCCGCGGATTGCCCATGCCTACTGCTTTTGTTTAATAATTTATTCATTTCCTCTGTTCAGAGCGTTGTTCGGAATATCTGTGATTTTTCTCTAGTTGGTAGTTACAACGAGTAATTTTCTAACGTTGGGTTATTTGTAGAGGCATTTGCAAGTACTCTGTCACCCCTATTCCTTTCTCCGTTTGGCGTCTCAATTTGGTTGATCAATTCGGCATTTGATCGTTCTAAAGCGGCACTTTAGAATGCCTCCCTTTCGATAGGCTTCTCTTTAAGACTGTTGGCGATTTTCATGTGATAACGGCCTTATTTCTGCTATCCTTTCACAATTTATTAACTTATTTATAGTGTTGTATTTATTGAGTTGCTAATAAATATCGTGCACAATCTGACGAAATTGCAGTACACCAGTTGTAATCGTGTTCGCTGTGGATGCTGGGGTGTTTTTGGGGGTTGGGTTTGAGGCAGCGTCAGTCCGTTCTTCACCAGTTAACACGTTGACGACAACTGAGCCACCGAGTGGCTCATAAGTGAGTGGCCACGTGGGACAATTTGAGCCACCGGTGGCTCATAACTTTCTCCATCACTTTTCGGGTTATTGCCGGCAGTCTCAATCGATCTTTTTCTTGCTTTCGAATAACCTGTGAAAGGTGAATGTCCAACAGGGATGAGCAAGAAAAATGTTGCTGCCTCCATGGGATATTTTGAATTAAAAATTGAAATTTTTCAACTAGCTACTGCTGCAAACCTCCAAAATAGTTTTTTTGGACGAAACCTTGGCTGCAGGGACTGCGCGGGCTTTGATCATGAACGTGAGATCTTATTGGTCGTTGGCGCCATATAACGCCAGGTCTTATTTGTCTTTGGCGCCATTTCGGCGCTAGCAGTCTTTTTTGCACCGAATTCGATAGAAACCTCCATAGCTAGGTTATTTGACATCCTTGTCACGAATATCGTTGCCTTCCAGTGTTGGCGCCACCTGGCGCCAGCGGGCGCCACTTTGGCGCCAGCGATCTTTTTGACACCGAATTCGATAGAAATCT